TGAGCATGATCCAGTCGTCTCTAGCGCTCCCGTAGCCGACCGATATCTGCATGAGCATGATCCAGTCATCTCCAGCGCTCCCGTAGCCGACCGATATCTGCGTGAGCATGATCCAGTCGTCTCTAGCGCTCCCGTAGCCGACCGATATCTGCATGAGCATGATCCAGTCGTCTCTAGCGCTCCCGTAGCCGACCGATATCTGCATGAGCATGATCCAGTCATCTCCAGCGCTCCCGTAGCCGACCGATATCTGCGTGAGCATGATCCAGTCTTCTCTAGCGCTCCCGTAGCTGACCGATATCTGCATGAGCATGATCCAGTCATCTCTAGCGTTCCCGTAGCCGACCGATATCTGCATGAGCATGATCCAGTCATCTCTAGCGTTCCCGTAGCCGACCGATATCTGCGTGAGCATGATCCAGTCATCTCCAGCGCTCCCGTAGCCGACCGATATCTCTCGGACCACGCATCTGTTTTGTGTTCTCTTAACAGCGCAAAGCCTGATTGTGTTGTAAAGAATATTCGTTATCGTCAACTAAAGGCAATTCATTTTGATGCTTTACGTCAGGGTATGGAAAAATCCGAAATTTGCACAAGGAAATTCAGTGACCTTAACGAGCTAACGTCCAGTTACAAGTTGACACTAACATCTCTTCTGGACAAGCAAGCGCCAATGAAGGAGAAAGTGGTTGCCTGTAGGCAGCGCTTGCCGTGGTTTAACAGTGAGATTAAGTGTGCTATAAGGTCAAGGCGGAAGGCGGAGAGGAAATGGCGAAGGACAAAATCCCACCAGGACTTTCGCGCTTTCAAAGACGCGCGAAATCGCGCAACGTTTGTCATGAATTGTGGGTGCTGTGAGTATTATACTAATCTCATAGCTGAGAACAGTTCAAAACAACCGAACTTGCTTCGTATCACCAAGTCGCTGCTGTGTGAACTGTCTGAAGTGTCGTTTCCAAAGGATCTAGCTCCAGATGATCTCGCCTATGATTTCGGAAATTTCTTTATGCAGAACATCGATAAAATTAATCAGTTAATTGATATGCAGAGCTTTTTAGAGATGTCAAAAGCCGGAGAAAAGGAGTGCGCTGATTCTGATACGTGTGCAACTGTCACATTTGCCAATTTTAAAACGTTGTCTTAAGAGAAAGTCTCTGAGCTCATCAAGAAAGCTGCCAAGAAATCATGTCCGCTGGATCCAATGCCTACTTCGGTAGTCTTAGAGGTTTTGGATGTGTTGTTACCTGTGATCACGAACATGATTAACTTGTCATTCGAATCTGCCGAATTTGCTAGCGATTGGAAGAAGGCTTTACTAAAACGACTGCTGAAAAAGTGTGGACTTGACATTGCTTTTAATAATTTCCGCCCAGTTAGCAACCTCCCATATGTTTCCAAATTGTCAGAGAAGGCAGCGGCTAATCAGCTCATTAATAACATGACAGCTAATGATTTGCATATGCCTTTTCAGTCCGCGTACAAGCAAAACCATAGCACCGAATCAGCACTGCTCAAGGTCAAGAACGATATTTTGTTGAATATGGAGTCGCAAAAAGTCACTTTGTTCGTTCTCCTTGACCTTAGCGCTGCTTTTGACACTGTTCGACACGACACTCTTCTAAATCGTTTGAAGTCGAGATTTGGCGTGGATGGCAAGGCATTAAAGTGGTTTGCGTCGTACCTTACGGATCGTTCACAACGTGTCACTATAAATGATGGCCTATCATCTGCTTTTCCACTCAGACAAGGAGTTCCTCAAGGAAGTTGTCTCGAGCCTCTTCTATTTACGGTTTACACCAGTAAGCTGTTTAATATCGTCAGCAAGCACCTCCCAAGTGTACACTGCTACGCAGATGATACAAAGCTGTATTTGGCGCGGCATTTAGTCCTACTGTGCAAGGGGAGAACGAGGCCGTGGCTACCGGTTAGGCAACGCATTAGTTTTAAGATTCTACTATTTTTTTTTTAAGGCCATCCATGGAATTGCGCCAACGTATTTAAGAGAACTTGTGTCAATTAAAAGACCAGGAATTTATAAATTAAGATCCTCCTTGGATGATTTGTTGCTTGCAACGCCAACTTATATATAATTATAGAAGTGGGGTGACATTAGGAGACAGATTATTCCAGGTCGCAGCTCCGGCACTTTGGAATGTATTACCGCGTGAGATTCGTTCTATTACAGATCTAGGGATTTTAAGTGCCTCCTGAAAACGCACCTCTTTAAGGAAGCTCTTTATTAATTTTTATTAAAATTTTATCGTGATAGTTGCTAGATAGTAGCTAAAGAGCTAAACCCAACTAGTTTAGCTCTTTAGTTATTTTGGGTGACCAGCAACTGTATGTATTTCAAATTTATTTCTCGTTTAATTTGTAACTAAGGTAATTTTACAGTTCAAATAAACCTTGTCTAGTATCGTAACATATGTTGTATGCTTTGATTTTATCATAGTATATTTTTAATAACTATTTTTGAGATGTAATGCGCGCTTGATCATTTCATGGAAAGCGCGCAGAATAAGAATTAAATTATTATTATTATTATTATTATTATTATTATTATTATTAAGAAAGTCTCACCACGCACTGGTCTTTGGCTGGCCGGTAGTGTGCGTGGTAAAGGTCAAGTGAAATACCAACAAACAAGGCCTGGGCTTAATCTGCTATGTTTATTGAGGATTAACTAGGAAGTATTGGTTATTTTGTTCGACAATTAACCATGGGTTATCACAATCTAGTTTCAAAAGGGTTAAAAGAATAAACTGCAACCCTGGAAATGGTTTATTTCACCGAAAACCGTCGATTTGAAATTACAAACATCGTACACCGTAAGATTTGAGATCACCGCAACACTGCGATGCGAGTTGTTCTTCACTGCAATATCGCATTAAAAAGGGTCAACACCGCATCACCGCAAACCCCAATATCCCCTTCGATAAAGAATTCCTGTTGGATTTTTGAAACCAACTGGGCCAATAAAACCATTCATCTCCTCTCACTGTTTACCAGTTTAATTGTCCCATCTGTTGGGATATCAGAATCTCACCAGACTTTTTAATTCTTTTATGCAACACTAAACTTTCTGTTTAGGATTAAGGTAAGGGAAAATTTAGGCCCATACTGTCACTTTCTAAGATATTGACTTAACTAAAAGTTGTCCTACGTTCAGCCTCTTTCCAAAAAAAAATTAAAATGTTAGAGCTCTCCCATTACAAGCGATACAGCATTTCCTAAAAGGAGAAAACTCCTGATACTTGCGATACAATTCAGGTAAAACGCTAGTTATTTTATAGCATTTACCAAGAGCTACTTCTGCTAATCATTACAAGAAAAGGAACAGATATACACAATCACACGACAATTTTTAAACCCACTCCATTCCACCACAATGAGGCGAGGGCTTCCCTCATGTACGCTGGCTGCTAACCCCGTACCTTGGTTAACATGGGAAGTCTCCCAGATTGATTCAATGTTATTTTAATCCCTAATTTTTTTGTATTGTATTGCAGCCTCTCTTCCCTGCCCAAAAGAACACCATTGTGACTCAAACGCCCTCTGTATTGTTGATCCCCGGTATCCCAAGAATCCGTACTGCAGATGTCATCTCGATTTCAAGAAGTCTGATAATGGTGCCTGTGTAGGTATGATGTCGCTATTAACGTTGTAAAAGTGCTTGAAAACTACAAGGTTAGCGGAGAGAACAGGACTTTCCTGTTTGTGCCCTCTTCTTCCAATACCTGACAATATCACGACAGACACCAGCAACCTCAGGGTTTTCTCCGCTCCCGATTTGTCGCAATCCTGGGACCTAACGACGACTTGGTTTTTGTGGATTACCTCTGTGAAAGAATCAGTAGTTGGCTTTGACCTTTAATTGCTTATCCTTTTGTTTCCATTTTAGAAATGAACGAGTGTGAAAAGATAGGCAACGTGTGTTATGGCGGAAGAGGATGTAAACATGTAGATGGCAACTATGGTTGCTTCTGTATCGACGGTTTCACTGAGGTTCTTGTTGGTTATAGCTCAGTTTGCAAAGGTGAAATAAGGGCAACATAAATGTCATATTCAGTATCTGTGATTCCTGGGCTATCTTCTGATATCTAGTTTTATATGGTTCTGAACTATAATTATTAAGTTACACTTGTATGAAAAAAGTGTATCTTTTCATGTTTACCTCCACGTTATAAGTCGATGAAAAACTGTCTTCTCCTTGAAGGAATTCTTTCTCAAGTGTATTTTCTACGAGTCTGTTTTTTTTTCCGGCGCAATGAAAGGTTGCATTGTTGGGTTGTGAAGGGCAGATGGAGCCATAGGAGGAGAAAATGGACTTATGCTTTGTGGCTCTGTCAATTTTGTACTTGCAGATATTGACGAATGCAAGAAGAGTCCAGACAAATGCCCAGCTAACTCTCACTGCACAAACACGGAGGGTTCATTTAAATGTGATTGTAAGGCAGGATTCCAGAAGACAGCTGATGGAGCTTGTGAGAGTAGGTACCCCAAAGAGGTCCACGTTCCGCGCATAGGAAACATTTCGCCCAACGTCTCTTAACCCTTGACACCTTAACATCAGTATGCATATTCTCTATACTGCTCTAAAAACATTTCCTTTAGTGCCGACAAGGAGAATTTTTTAAACAATACAGAGCTTCTTTGCTTGGTGATCAGCTACTTTAATAAGCTCCTTTATGTGTGATTTAGGGGTGATACTGAAAAGAAAAGCTAGATTCTGGTCACTCTTGGAGATCAAAAGGGTTTATAATGATGATAAGAACGGTCAATCTGCGGCGACCAATGGCTCGCATATGGTACAAAAGTTCCTTGCTTTTTAAGACTTTAGAATACGGCTAAATGATTCAGCAAACGGTTAAAAAGGCATTCTCAGAAGACACCAAAAGAAGACAGTCTTTTATATAATGCGGTTAATAAATGGAACATGCACAGAACACATACAGGTAAAACTGGCTATCTAAAAAGATATTTGTACGTATGAGTCGGTGTTTGAACAGTAAACTCATCATGCTTAGAAAAGTCTTGATTCCTCCTTTTAATAGTTGAATATACATTGTATTCAAATTACAGAATAGATCTGTTTTCTTTTACAAAAGTGGTATGTTCGTGCCGTCCAAATGGGGAATGCAGTGATGAAGGAAAATGCTCTTGTTATGCTGGATATTTTGAAAATGGGGAAGGAAAATGTGAAGGCAAGTGACATTCCCAGCAGACTAAATCATCTTTAGATTCAATGATAGAGATGATGGAGACAATTCCCATAAGATTCGTGGCATGTAGCTACTCGTGGTGGTAGATAAAACAACATCATAGTCAGTTTATATGAACTTAAAACTCCAGACTTAACCATCCATTGATGAAGTGCTACTGATTAAAGTTATGGGAACGGGAATGGCGGAATGGGAACAGGGCGCTCGCCTCCCCTGCTGTGGCCTGGGTTCGATTCCAGGCCCCGGTGTCAGATGTGTGTTGAGTATGTTTTTGGTTCACGTCCATGCTCCGAAGGATTTTCTCCGGGTCCTCCACGCTTATCAAGAAATGATTTGAGTTAATGAAGTGAACACAATTTATCATTTTTCACTTTAGACATAGACGAATGTGATGCTGACGAGTCTCCGTGCGATGATGAAGGCTCTGAATGTAAAAACCACCAAGGCTGGTTTTCCTGTTCTTGTAAACAAGGATATGCGAAGAAATATGATAAATGTGTCCAGGAAGGTATGTTATGGAGACTGTTCACATTAGCGACGTAGGCGTCTGGCTCGCGACCGAAAGACCAGTCAGTCAAAAGAGTGACACGTGTAAACGTGAACGAGAGAACCTTAAACTCTATTCACATGACCACTGGGATGCCTCTATTCATGAATAAATTATCACTATCGTCGTTCTTGCTGATATTAAAGTCATTGTTGAAATTGTTACTATAATTTTAATTAGCATCATTATTATTTCTTTTTACTTTATTTTCCGTTCGCGGGATTTTGTCCAATTGCCAATGTCATAAAAACGATCTTCCGAGGAAACGTTTTTCAATTTGAAGAAAATGCAAAAAAATGTAATTTTACTTCAACGATTTTCTTAAATCGCTGAATCTAGCCACCATTTTGAGAGTACCTGTGACGTAGATTAAGGGACATGTGAGAATCATCGAAAGGGTTGTTGCAATTAAATACTCAAAAGAGAAGATTGGTGAGAGCAGATAGAGCAATTTTCAGTTGGTTGTCAAAAGTAATCCGGGATTACTTTGATTTTGCTTTACTCTGCTCTGTGATTGGTTCAAAATAGTCGTGCCATTTCCTCAACCAATCTAAATCAAGAGCAAAACTAAAAAACTAATCACGACTTGGTCGGCCGCGTTTTCCCGCCATTTTTAGACAGTTTGGTTGTTTTCCGCGCTTTAGACAGTTTGGTTGTTTTCCTGCGCTTTAGACAGTTTGGTTTTTTTGACTTTGAGGTCTTATTGGCTCTTTAAAGCATTATCCATTTTTCTGATTGGTTGTCGTGATTACTGTAGGTTTTGTTTTACTACAGTCAATCAAAAAGCACTCTAAAGGGGAGATTTATAGATGTTATCAACAAAGCACGAAAACCCTTCTGGGAGGATGTAGTTCGAGTTCCGCTTGGCAGCATTCACAATACCCAATGATTTATTTTTAAAAATGTAAATTCGCCTCTTTTCAAGCAGAGAAAGAACAGATGTGTAAGTGCGCAGAGAACGAAGAGTGTTATCAAGGAAAGTGCATAGGTAAGAAAGGATAAGAGACGAATGGAGGTCCCGTCTCCTGCAGGGTTAGGGGTAGGAGACGTTAATTTCCCACGCACGAGATTACTGTGTGATGGATGTCCTCCCCTGGGGGTGGGATGGGTGGGGTTTAATGGGTAGACTACTCGCATGGATCGCATATGTTCCGTTCTAGTCCTACCTTACTGCAGTAATGCAGTGAAAATGGATTAGAAATTTCCTCAAACTGTGCTTTGGAAGAAGTAGGTAAGGATGGTAGTTAATACTTCCAAGTAGTCGACAGTGAAAGAGCCTCGGAATATTTTTCCAATAATCAAAATGACTGTATCTGAATAATTGATTTTGAAAGCCCTTTAGACAAGTGATGAAGGTCATGAAGGATAGGGTGATTTCGGTTCTTTGACATTGGTTTTAACGCTATGAACGCCTGTTCGCAAGGATGACTTATGTCGCACGCATACCCTCTTCATTCCCATAAGTTTCCTATACATGTACACACCACTTGAGAGAACTTAATGAAAAAAATACCGTACAAGCCTTTTTTTTTGCTCATAGTTTGTGCCCGCACCCGAAAATCTTCCAGAAAAGAATGCTTTTTATTCCTCATCTTCCTATTTGCTTATGGAGGGTCACAAACAGGTTAGCCTCCAATCCCTGATCATCTCTCAATCCTAATAGTAGCATATTTTTTCCACATCTAGATACAAGTCTTTTTTTTGGTTCAAGCCACTCAATACACGTTTCAAGTCAATTAAGCGTACACGTCCTTGTACTGCTTGGGAACCTGGCCCTCATTGCATAAGAAACCGCACCTCCTTCTTGCTTCGTTGCTAAATAGCTCATTTTCAACTTTATCCCATTAAGACTGGCAATTAATTATAAATAAGAAGTGACGATTAAAAGGCACCATTTGTTGTGATATAAATCACTACTTAAGAATTCAAGAAGTTTTTAAAAGTCTTATTCATTGTCGTCACCGTTATTTCCCATTTTAAAGACATTTTTTCAGATTACAAATTCTTCGACTCTGAATTTTGGCGCATCGCACCTGTTCCTCATCTCTTCCTTGGGACATAATTTAAGTTGTGAATCAAACGTTTCAGGATACACTATGGTACACGTACCTTCTCAGATCTTAACAGTAGCGTGACACAATTATCAAGGAGTTTTTATATTAAAAACGACTTCTAGTTACACAAGTTGTTTGAATTTTTTTCTTGTATTTGACAACAATTACGCAATTATGACCAAAATCTTACTTCCTACTGAAGGAAAGTATTCTCCAGGAAGCATTTTATTTTGATCTCTATGATTAAAAAGCAAATATGAAATTTTCACACTGTTTGACTATGGAAGCCGTCAGGCGGTGTGCGCACTCCGATTGCATTGTGGTAGCGCTATTTTCAATATGGCGGTAAAAGCGGTAGAAATGGGTAGAGTTTGACTGAATATTCCGTAAAAGTTAGGCCATTTCTTTTTCCTTTCACTATAGGTAAATATAATTTTATATATTTTGAACGTGTAGAAGTATTTTTCGTGCGTATTTGTCACTTATTATATCGTTCTCAAGGACAAACGCAAGCACTGTATTTTAGCATGTAATTTGAGACCGGTTTTCGAGAAGGTCAGATTCGTTGTACGTCGTAGTCTGAAGCCTTTCAAAGATTTGTATGGCCACTTTGATCCTTCTTCAATAGCTCTGACCAAACGCGCTCAAACGCACTCCAACGGTACAAATTTTTTATGTATTTGAAGTGATCGTGTTTGAGAGACCCTTTTGTGGAGCGAAAAGGCCCATTCCCCATTTAAAAAACGAGTGGGGAATGGGTCGAGTTCGCGGCGTAAGTTTGTCTGGGATCGTTACTCGAGACACAAATCTTTGTTTGCAATAGATTTGTGCCCCGAGTAACGATCCCAGACTAACCTGCACGGCGAAGTCGACCCACTCCCCCACTCGTTTTTGAATGGGGAATTGTTGTGTTTAATGTGTTGCGTTACATAGCTTCAGTTACAACTGAAAGGGCATTTATCAAACGTGTTGTATATCTACTTTCCTAAGTGAAGGAAAATTAACTAATCGCGAGTGTTGTGTGGCAAATCTTCTATCTTGATCATTGAATGAAGGACAGTTTAATTAGAGCAATGAAAAGAGTCAATTAATCCATGAAAACCTCTACCTTGCGTAAGGAAAGCCGGAAAGCAAAAGGTAGTCGACCGTAGATGGGCCTGTGCGTCTCCTACCATTCGCTGGCGCTTTTAAATCTTCTACTCTCAAAGTTTAGCTCTTTGGTCCGATAAACCAAACAGGCAATCCAACTAGCTTACGCAAATCGTACAATTTATTCCAGTATATTATTATTCGATCTGGAGAAAAGAAATTAAATACATTTGAGAAACTGAACAGGATCTATCGATACATAAACACACGAGTCAAACTATTAGCTAGAATTGCAGCACTGATAACTTACTTCTGTGGCGATGTCTAGTAGGATTGTATAACAGAATACGGGTCAGCGCGACAGGTCAGCAAAACATGAAGGTCACTTCGAATCTAAACATCTGAACTGAAAACAGACTTATTCACGTGGCTTAATTGCGAAACTTAGTGTCAATCAAAGTCAATCAGGAAATCAAGTTAATAATTCATTGTATTAACGAAACACTCTTATTAGGATATCTCTTGATGACTTTCCTTTGTAATGTGATAATAAGGGTCAATTTTGAGGTGTCATAATTCCCCATTTGTTTGGTTTTTTTTTATGTTTAAGGCGGACGGCCAGGCTCCCGTGAGGGCGGTGCAATGCCTGCCGACCAACATGTCTACTCCCTACCCATGGCTGAGGTGCAAGGCCTTAGGGCGGGGTCCGCCAGAAACGAGGGGCACCAGCCGCCAACTTCGCTGGGGAATCGAACCCCACCTCACTTAAAAATTATCACACACACACCAAAAATTAAACACACACACTCACTACCTTAACATTAACTAATTTTGTATGTTTTTGAGGTTTGGCAAAACCGGATGAGATTGTGTTACAAAAGGCCATATTTTCTTCTGTGCGCGCGCTATTTTCTTTGTTTCAGAGTATACGTCTCTCCTGAACATAGTTTAACTATGTCCTGAAGTAATAACTCCAGAGATACGTTTCTCAAATTAAAACCCTCATATAGGTTTCCTCTATTCTCGAAGGCTATTTTGAAATTCTGTACTTTTTTACTAGACGTGGAGCGCGAAATATTCGTTCTTAGGAGGAGAGGGGCTTCTTCTTTTACAAATCCCGTATTTACGCTCGGTGGAAAAAGTTCGTGTATTACAAGGTCTCTGTCTCTTTAATATGCGTTTGCATGTCAACAGTTGAATAAATCGTGTCTAGGAATCAGTTGTGAATGTAACCACAGGCGGGCCGAGCGTACTGTGAGTGACTTTGGGGTGTAAAGTTTATTTAACGGCAATAACTAACAGTTAAGATCGCATTTCAAGCGTACGTGTGGGCGGGCTAGGACAAAACACTGACCCCGTACTGACCCCCCTTACTGACCCCTCTTAAATTCACTGGAAATCATGAATTGAAGCTAACAATAACAACCTAACGATACAAAATTACGATATAATAATACACTCACCTCTTAAATTCCAAAATGGCGGAAGATAGTCAATCTGTTTAATGCCTATAGTCTGCCATGGTCCAAACTCGTTTTACCACGATATTGTCAGGCCCGGTTCAAACGTCGAATTTCACACGTGCCGAACTTAATGCGAGAGTTAAATGCATGTGAAGTGCGACGTTTGAATCAATTAAATTCGACTGTGTTCAATTAAATGCGACTTTTGCCGTATCTGCGACTGAAACAGTCGAAGATTCGACTTAGGTTCGACTTTTAATTCAAACGACGCATCTCACATGTGCATGCCAAACTTAATGCATGAATTACAGGAAATTATCATAATTCATTTATTACCCACAACTCGCCAGGAATTCTATGAATGCCATGCGCGAAAAAGCCAAAACAGCACAAAAAAATGGTGGGAGACGAAAGAATTCGTAGTTCTTGCTTTGAAAAGACAAATACAGTTGTTCGACGTGCGGTAATTACTTTTGTATGAGGTGTTCGGTTTTTGAAAACGAAGAGGGCACTCCTGGGTGGAAAGTAGGAAACTCTGTGGCATATTGTGGGTCTCTTTCAATGAAATGATGGGACGTGAATCAAGTGAAAGTATCATGACGAAAAGCCAAGATAAAGAAGCAAAAACAAACAGCACAAGAGCATCAGTGAAGCAATTAAGCAAACGCTCAATAGACGTATTCGTCTAGCAAATAAGTAGTGCGCCTGGGAATATCGACAGCGAACAGAGTTAAATTCGACTGAGTTTAATTCGACGTTTGAATCAAATGCCGTATTTAACTATTTTAGTTGACTAAAATAGGAGTTAAGTTCGGCACATGTGAAATTCGACGTTTGAACTGGGCCTAAAGCAGTGCGCCTGGGAATATTGACAGCGAACAGAGTTAAATGCGACAGAGTTAAATTCGACGTTTGAATCAAATGCCGTATTTAAGTATTTTAGTCGACTAAAATAGGAGTTAAGTTCGGCACATGTGAAATTTGACGTTTGAACTGGGCCTTAGTTCTCCTACACTCATAAACGAGTGGCTAGACTTACTCACAAGTCGCACTTTTGAGCGCGTAGCGCGAGCCGAGCTGAGCGAGCGATAGCGAGCGAAAGCGCGGGTCGTGCGGGTCCTACCACACCAGAACAGAAAACCAAGAGAACGACTTTGAGAAAGTCTGACGAGTGGCAAATGTGTCGAAACATTGTGTACTGGCCCGGGGGGAGAAACTTTAGGATTTTCCGGGTGGGGATGTGCCACTGGGACCCTGGAACCCTTAACCTATACTAGAGCTAGTTCAGCTGAATTTTGCTACCCAATACCATAGTAAACTCCCCAAACCCCCCTATCCCAGAGTAGCTGTTTTCCAGCTAAAAAAAAAAAAGCACTTACCTTCTTTGTCTAAGTTACAAAAAAGCTAGTCCACCTTCCTTCTTGTATAGTGAGTCTCAAAGATTAGTCCTAAATGAGTGCTAATTTTGGACGGGTTTTGGACACTGGTTTTCGATTTTCAACCCCGTATTCAACTTGGTCGCGTTGCGAGTTACATGCTGAGCTCCGGGGCTGAGCTATGCCAAGCACGCACGTACGCCATTATAAGGAACAATAAATTGTTTAATTTTAACCAGTATTAAAACCACCGACTTCCGTCTGAATCCCGATTTTTGACAGTTAATAGTATCCAGTACTGTTTTATGATAGCCATCTATTGACTCTTTCTTTGCTTCTACTCCCGGGGCTGAGTTGCGTAAATTTCAACTTGTTGATTTGATTTTTTTATGTTTGAGTGGCGATTCCCGGTTTCCCTAGTCCAGAAAAAATCTTCAACCAATTGATCAGTTTCCTGAAAAATGATACCCTATTCTAGACCCAAATGCTCAGATTTATATACCCTATCCTAGAGTAAACTGCTTGAAAACCATACCCTTCACAGCAGCACATACCTATATAGCCCATATATGGCAGTACCCCCCGGG